TTGGCAGGATGTTTGCTGGGAGTGCGGGTGGGAAGGCTACCTCGGGTCTTTAATGGGATGGACGCCCCCAAAGCCCCAATCGGCCGTTCGAGTGGGCATATGCGCAAATGGGTGGCGAAAGCCCGGTGTCACAATCAAAAAAATCAGCCCTCCAACATCCCTGATGTTTGGGGCCGCGAGCAACCAGGCGCCCGGCCCATCACAGGAGGAGCCACTGGGACCTGGCGGTTCAGGGTTTAGGGTTCAGGGTTCAGGGTTCAGGGTTTAGAGTTTAGAGTTTAGGGTTTAGGGTTTAGGGTTTAGGGTTTAGGGTTTGGGTTCAGGGTGTAGGGTTTAGGGTTTAGGGGGAGGCAAGGGCGACTAAGGGGGGGCGTGCAGGGTTTTGGGTTTGCTCCTGGGCTTCGTACCACGCACAAGGGCCACTGTCATGAACCGAAGCCCTGAGCTCTAAACCTTGAACCCTGGAGATCTGAGTCTCAAACCCTAGTCAAGCCCTAAACACCCTCAAACCCTAATCAAACCCTAAACCCTAAACCCTAAACCCTAAACCCGAAACCCTAAACCCTAAACCCTAAACACCCTAAGCCCTGATCGGCCTCTATCGGCACGGGCGCGCTGGCACCATCTCGGTAGGGCTGGGCCACGCAAGGAGATTAGGGTTGAGGGTTTCGGGTTTAGGGTTTAGGGTTTAGGGTTTCGGGTTTAGGGTTTAGGGTTTAGGGTTTAGGGTTTCGGGTTTAGGGTTTAATGATTCAACCATGCCTTTGCTCTGCCCCTTGACCCCGATGCTCCACGGCTGTGGGCCCTGGCGCAGCTCCTCAGGGCGCGCCGGCCTTGTTTCAAGAGGGTTTCAGGGTTTAGGGTTTGGGGTTTAGGGTTTAGGGTTTAGGGTTCAGAGTTCAGGGTTTAGGGTTTAGGGTTTAGGGCTTAGGGTCTAGGGTCTAGGGTCTAGGGTTTAGGGTTGAGGGTTTAGGGTTCAGGGTTCAGGGCAGGGCACCACAACATTCAAACGCAGCAGATAGATTTGGGCTTTTAAACCTCCGTGGTTTACTAGGCCTGGCGTTTGAGACTTAGGGCGTGGGGCTTTAGGCTTGGGGTTTGGGGTTTGGGATAAAGTGTAGGGTGTAGGGTCATGGATGTCAAATCCCCAGCCTTGCGTTGAGATCACGGCTAGCTTGGAGCGGGCTTCAGAGATCTGACACGCAAGCGGGGTTGCTGAAAATTGTGGCCCCATATAATATTTGGGTTCCCTGAATCTCAGGACTCATATTCTAAGTAAGCAACTCCACGTTGGAACAATCTCGTCTTTAGACTGCACACTAAGTTCAAGGCTCCGCCGGCGGGTCCTGAACGGACTGTACATGAACCTCAGCCACGTCCAGTCATCAAAGATCACTTCTGCTCGGAGAGCAGTGCCCCCGGTAGGCCCGGTAGGCATTGGCTGAGGTAGGCTAACTAAGTTCAACGCCACATGTAATAGCCGCCGATGGTTTGTAGATATACCCATAACGCCCCTTATTCGGGAAGGAGCTCACATGCGAAGGGAAGGGGCGCAGAGCAAAAACGACACGCTCATGGAGCACCCTAAACCCTATCATATTCACACAGAAATTTAGCTGACATCAAAACTGATAAACCCTACAAAAACCCACGAACACAACATAAAGCCTAACCCCTCTACCCTTGCCTCTTCACCGTCCCCCACCGAAGTCCCGGCTGGCTCCGGCTCTGTTGGCGGCGGCCTGGCTCCCCCCAGATGCGGCCCCCAGGGTTTGAAGGGGGTGTAGGGTTTAGGGTTTTGGGGATTAGGGTTTAGGGTTAGGGTTTAGGTTTAGATATAAGAAGGGGTTTCCTGAATTCCGGGGTTCGTAATGGTAAGGGAATCCTACTATTGGGGCTTCTTGGGGGCTCCCCTATTTTCGTAAACCCCATATGTGCGCCTTCATGAACTACTTCCGGGAGGCTCATGAGCAGCAACAATTAGGGTTAGTAGGGTATTTCGGGTGCTTATACCCATGAACCTTTATGAACTATCCGGAGCATGATGTTGGGGAGCACTCCCCATCAGCCCTGCGCCTCCCAAATGAGCCAGCAAGCTTAGAATCCCCGAGACCCCCCCAGCACACCCTGAACACCAAAAAAGGCCCCAAACCCTTAAAACCCAAAACCCCAAGAAATCTCAAACCCTACAACCCTTAACCCTGTGCACCCTCAACCCCACGCGCCCTAAAGTTCCCACTCGACTCGCACCAGCCTGGGGGCTTCTTGCACCACACCTGCATTTGGGGAGGCATCGGCAGGTTTGGCTTGCGGGCTTCGGGGTTTAGGCGGGGGCTTGGGGCGGTAGGGTGGTTTAGGGTGTGTGGGGCTCAGGGGCATACCTAGCTTAGAGGGTTTAGGCATGTAGGGCTTAGGGCGGCCACCTGTCACATGTAGGATGTTCGTTAGTTCGGACCAGTCTTCCGAACCATCAACCTCACCCTGGACTCTCTGCGCGCCCAAGAAACCTTGCACACCCTGCAACCCGCCAAAGTCATGTGAGCGGCCTCCGCTGGACTCTGCGGGTGCGGGTGGCTGCTCGGGCCTGTGTCGCATGGCTTGAAAAGGGACGCTTGCTTAGGATGCTGGATTTTATAGGGCTCTTGACTTGCTTGTGTCCGGGCTATAGGGTGCTCCTTGGGAGCCCCAAGACGTTTCTTGTAGATTCCCTAAGAACCCCACAAGGGGTTTCGCGACAAGAAGGGGGGTCTTAGAACAAGAGCCTGCAAGAAACAAATGGTGCCTTAAGCCTTCGAGGTGGTCTTGGGCACATGCCCCGGCTGATTGCAGAGCTCCGGGCGGCTTCGGCGCATCTTCATGCACCGCCGGCGCTGCGGGCGCAGCACCTGCCGCGGAACCCCGGCAGCTACTTGGAGGTTCGCAGGCAGTCAAAGCCGGAGCAACAAGTCGGGGAACCCATGGCCCTAACTGGTGATAGCAACTTCCCGCTTTTTCTTCAATCCCCACAAGGCTCCTGGGAGCAATCATCCTGACGCCATGATTTCTGGATGCCAGACATATTGTCAAACCCAGGGCCCTGCCTTTCGACGCCTCATCCTGTACAGCGTGAGCAGCGGCTTCTGCAATGTGAGAGTCCACGGAGCCTGAGAGCAAAAAGACCAGGTTTCTGGGGACCGAGCCGAAGCAACCATTTCTGCAAACCATCGAATTGAGAAACAAGGCCATCCAAGGGAGGCCCTGGAGCGAATGAAAGCTCGAGCCCAACAAACTGCACCTCAAAGGCCCGAAACCCATCCCTCAAGCAACTCAAGCGTGCCAGCACCACTGCCCTGTTCGGTGCTCATTGCTCCGAGTTGACGCGAATTACTGGACCTGGGCTGTTGGCATCGGGCCTTCACCACCCCCGCTTGCTCAACTGCCCGTAGGGTCTCTTCTTCGGGCTTCAAGCCCAGAGGGCTCGGACAAGATCGTGTCATATCAGAGACACCCTCACTGGTACTCAAAGAAAGTACCTCCGAGACTTTGAAAGGGCCCAGAGATTCTTGAAATGACTTAGCACAGCCCTCAAAGCATGGAGCTTGCAGCGGCTAAGACCCTCAATTCGAGGCCGGGAGGCGGCGACTGCTGTTCGGGCGAGCTGGGCCTTTCTCTCCGCGGCTGAAGGAAAGCTCTGGAGACTCGACGTTCTCGGGCTTTGGGTTCTTTCGCTGTGCCAAGACTTAGGGCTTGCGTGCTTGTGTCGGAGAACATGCCACATGCCATAGGACGTCCCCACTCCAGTTGCACCGCTGCAGAAGTCTGAATACCTTTCTGCCTTAACCGCTGTAAGACCAACTCAAACACAGCTCTTGCAGACCAGAACAGCGAGCTTGTAGTGCGAATGCACCGGAAAGCCGTGAGCACAAGCATCAGCAACCCCCCGCCTGGTGTGGTCGTCTGGCTCGCCTTTAGGGTTTAGGGTGTAGGGTTTGGGGTTTAGGGTTTAGGGTTTGGGGTTTAGGGTTTAGGGTTTAAGGTTTTCGGGTTTTGGGTTTAGGGTTTAGGGTTTAGATTTTGGGTTTACCAGGCTTTGTGGCGTGGCTTTTCGGGGGCTTCCCAGCCAGTACTGGGCATCACGATCGCCAAAATGGAAGATTCAAGCCATCCTCAAACCCTAAGGCCCCCCAAAGCACCCAAACCTCAAACGCACCCACCCGAACCCAAAACCGCAACAATCCCCAAACCCTGAAGCCCAGAGAGTCGATGCCCAAGAAGCTCAGGGAGTCGATTTACCAGGGGCTTCGCAGACTTCCGGGGTGGGGATTCCGGGGGGGGGGGTGCCTGGAGGCCCAGCACCCCAGAAGCTTGCTTTTAAGGGGGGCTGAGGGGGCTTCGGATGCTTGGGGCTTCGTCAAGGGTCGCGTCTCCGCGCCCTCACGCACACCCGCAACCTCCAAGGCCCCCGCGGAGTCGGCGACTGCCCCTCAACCTCAAGTTTGGTGTTGGTTTGACTGGAGGGCCCTTGCTGGTACCCTAGACTGCGTGGAGTGAACTGCTCTGGGCGCCAAAAAAAGGCCCGAAGGGGTTTCAGTCTTAGGGCACCTGTGTCGCCTTAGACGAATAGGTTTCTGATTCTATTTGGGGTGGCTAGCAGGGTCTTCCCTCGGGCATCGCCGATCCCTAAACCCAAGGGCGCGAAGGAAGCGGCGGCATCTTTTCAGCTCCAAACTGCTGCTGCAGAGCGAGCCAGGCGATTTGCCAGCACAACGGTCTGTGTTTACGGGTTTTGGGGGTGATGGGGCGTTTATGGCTTTCGTGAGGCTTGGGGGCTTGTAGGGGTCTGTCACTTGAGCTTTGGTGACGACAGACTTCGGAGGGCGGGTCTCACGCTTCCGCATACTCTTCACGGGGCTGCAGCGTCACCTTCCCAATATCTCCCCAACTCCATCTGGGCCCAGAGACCTCCCTTGCGAAGCCTGTGAAGGTCTAAGAATATAAGGTCCAGCCCCCAGTGGGAAGTTTTAAACTTCACCGGGAGGGAACACTTTTTTAGCGATGCAGGCCCGCAGGCGCTGCTTGTTGGCGGAGTCTAGATGGCCCTGGCTATGTACAATCCAGTCCGCCAGTGGCTTTGGATACCTTGGCTAGGCTTCGGGTACTTCCTAGAAGAGCAGCCCTCATGTTGGCTCAGGTGCCCCCCCTGAAGTCGTGAATTCCAAACCCTCAGCCCTCAGCCCCTCAGCCCTAAGTTGAGAGGTTTCCGTAAGTTAAGGGGCACCTGGTTGTGAGGTTCCTATCAGAAGGACCATCGCACGCTAGGGCTACGTACCCTTATCCACTCTGGTGGGCAATCTTGCAGTGCTTGCAAACTTTGTAGAGGCACCCTCCAAAACTCTGAACCTGTTAAAACGTTGAGCCCTAAACCCAAAACCCGAACCCCCCCCCCCACTGAACTCGCAGCTGAGGAGCGAATCGAAGGCCAGCACGCACTTGGAATTCCTCGGCCCCCCCCCTGAAGACTCGAAACCGACGTTCCCTCGGATTCCTCTCAAAATCTGAAGGGGGTCCTACTTGAGGTTGAGGGTATCCCCGGGACTGGAGTCTGGCCAAGAGTCAAGACCCCGGGCACCCACGAGAAGGCGCTCGGGGCCTGGATGAGGATGTCAGCATGGGCCATGTGGGTCCAATCGTTGAGTTCCTCGTGGAACAGGGCCCCCTTTTGCCATCAGCTTCACTGCAGGGTCCTCCCTTACAAGAGCTACCGCCAACTTGACCTACATGAAGAACCTCCCTGAGCCCCGTTACCCGATAGGGCATACCTTACCCCATAGGGTGCCCCCTAAGAGCCCTGTGCCTCGCCATTCAGGTGCACCCGCATCTCTTGGGAGCGGTACCCATCGAAGTCTTTGGAGGAGTAGGCGCCACCTTCGGTGGAGCTGAAGACGTGGACCTCTGCCGAACGATGCAGCTCCGCCAGCGCATCCTTCACCGCCTCCACCAGGCCCATGTAAATCTCATCCGCCACGTTCCGGTGCGCCCAGTGCTCATGGTTGTTCAGATCACCGCGGCGCACATGCACGGCGACGTGGATGGCCTTGCCGGCAAAGTGGACGGCCTTCGAGCGCTGGAGGAGCGTGGCTTGCCTGAGGCGCTGTTGAAACTCCGGGGTCAGGTAGTCGACGAACTCCCGGCCATTGCCGCACTCCTCAATCAGGATGCTCTGGTGCGGCCCAAAGGGCCGGCCACTCTGACTGATGGCCTCCTGGATGGCCTCGGGCCCGAAGAGGCAAACGTCGAAGTGGGGTTCCGGAGCCAGGCGTCGGATGCCCTTGTAGTTGGTACCCAGTAGCTCGGTCATGCACTTGGGGATGTACACTCCATGCTCCCTTTCTGATGGGTTCGGCAGGAGGCCACCGAAGTTTAGGTTCAGATGCGCCGCCAAGGCCATGAAATTGATGAGGCTAGCAGCCCTCTGACCCAAGCCATCCCAGCGCTCAACACCATAGATGGTGGCCGCATTTGGGTCATTCAGGCACAGGGAGCAGTTCCAGGCGCTCAGTCCGATGGAGGGATCCAAGTCTTTCACAAGCTTCATCTGCTTTTTGCTGTGCGCCTGAGGCATCTGGCCGGACTGCGCGTCACACGTGATGCTCGGGATCGGGGAGCAGCTCATTCTGCTCGCCGTTTGCAGCAGGGAGGCCTCCGAAGACTCGCATTCCGAGCCCTGACATGCGGCAAAGCTGCACCCCGGCAGTAGAAAAGCAAGGAATCCCAGGAAGGCGACTCGCATCTCTAAACAAACAATTTGGTGCGGTCTCGGACAGGGTGCGGCTGCGGCACGTGCAGCGGAAAGATCTCCAGCCCACAACGCACAACACCCCAACATCCCTGCAAGCATCTTCACCCCTCGCCTACATCAGGAAGCCAGGAGAACCAGCGGCCCCACCCCAAGATCCAGACAAAAAACAAAAAAAGAAACGATCAGCATATACACAGATATAGGAAGACCGGCAAAAACACCCTCTGCTGCCAGTGACTATTAGGCGTAGGACCGGCCCACGGGCCAGGTCCCACAAGTTCCAGAGCCCGGATTCCGAGGTCCCCGCAGGTCGGCTTCCGACCTCACTGCCCGGGCTCTTCACTTTGGCGGGGTTGGGGCTTAGGGTTTAGGGTTTAGGGTTTTTTACAGTTTAGGGTTTAGGGTTAGAGCTTTGAAGAGACTTATATAAAAAGATAGAACGGGTTTGGGACCGAGGGCAGGGACGGCACTTCAAGACCCTTTGGGTCGCTTGAGACGCATTAAGTCCAGTACTCCAGAACCCTTAGTCTATTTGGGCATTTCTCAAGATTCATGGCCCAAGCACAATCTTTCCTACCAAGCACCGAGGACGCTTCAAAGCTTTTGGTTGTAGTCTCCAGTTCCCCTCAGAGCCCATTGCCCACAACCCCTGAATCACGGAACTTCGCCTCAAGTTTGGAAGCGCCAAAAGAGTCCCGCATTCAGACGTGCCAGAGTTTGAGGGCGGCACTGGCTGAGAGGTAGAGCCGCGCCGTCCTGGCGGGTTGACTTCAGACATGTGGGGCGGCCCACCAGGGCATGCGAAAGGACTGCGAATTCGGTCTTAGACCAAGAGTTTCTGTTCGTGATGCTCATGGCAAGCGCTGGAATCCCACCCGCGGCTCCTGGATGTCCTCATCCTCTTCCATGATTTGAGGCAGCTGCGATTGCGACTGCAACTGGCCGAGCGGGGGGCGCCACGACGAGGTTGGAGTCAACTTCTTGGCTTCTTGGATCTGGCCCCGACAATTAGGAAGAAAAACGCCCCCTGAGCCTTAAACACGGCCTTCAAGTCCTAAACCCTACCCTTCCCTGCAACGACCCGCCTTGGGGAAGATGTCCACGTCTGGGACATCATCCGGTGCTTCTTCGGGGGGAACGAGCTCGCAAAGCCGATTCCCTTGGCGTGAGACATCAGTTCAAGGGTTTCATGGGGTTTGGCTCCAGGGTTTGTAACCTAGGGGCTTAGGAGTTCGCGAGCTGCACCGCCGCCAGATGCGATCTTACATCCTTGACACAAAAACCCAGAGCCTCCGAGGACCTGCTCAGGGGCCGGCCGTCCGTATCGTCCAACCAGGAGTGATCCAAGAGTTGCTGTGCCGTAGGGCGCTCGTCGGGTTTCTGCGAGGGCTGCAGTCAGTGGTTCAGACCCGTTTATTGGGTTGGGAGACCTTTGACGATAGGGTGGTTGAGGCTGAGGGCTTAGGGGTTTTGAGAGTTGAGGAGAGAGCAGAGAAGGCTTTTAGAGCTTGGTGCGTATTCGAGTTGTGGGGTTCACGAGCCCCCTAAAGCTCCCAAACTTCCCTAAGCCCGAAGCCCTAAAACCCCAAGTGTATGTGTATATCTATATATATATATATGTATATATATAGATATAGGGTATATATGATATACATAGAAAAATAGATATATATATATATATATATAGATACATATATATATATATGTACAATTATGTATGCATCTGACATATATATATATATATATATATATATGTTATATATATATATATACATTATACATATATGTTATAGATATATATGTATATATCACCGGGAACCTCTGTGGAGTTTTAGGGCCACTCCCCCTCTCTGAGGGTTCCAAGAGATTAATTCCAGAGCGGTAAAAAATATCGGCTACCAAGTCGGAGGGCTCTGCTCTCGCGAGGGGTGCGGGGTTAAAGGCTCAGACCCGAACTCCGACTTTTTGAGGGCTTAGGGTTTAGGGTTTAGGGTTCAGGGTTCAGGGTTCAGGGTTCAGGGTTATATAGAGTTCAGGGTTTTTGGTTCAGGACTCGGGGTTCCGAGCTCCCACGCCATCCGCGAGCACTGCATCACGATGCTTCGAAGCAGCTCATCCTACAGGCTCTGCATTCCGTGGGCTTTTTGGGGCTTTGGGGGGTTTAGGGCTTTCAAGGGCTTTGGGGCTTTGGGGTTTAAGGGCTAGGGGTTTAGGGTTTCAGGGTTCAGGGTTCAGGGCTGCTGTTCACCTACCACGCACTCGACGGGCGTCATGCGTTGTGACTAGCGGGAAGGGAATCCACAGCGGCAAGTTGTGTGGATGTAGGGGGCAACAACTTTACGAGATCCCGTCTGCGTGGTAAGGGCTGGCCCTACTTCACCTTGCATGAGAAAGTTTTCAGGCTTGCCAGGAGCATCCTAAACCCTAAAGCCCTAGACCGCTTCAATGCTGTTCGAGAGTGCCTTCACCCTGCGAAGGTTTCGCGGACGCTCACCGGCGAGGACCTTCTTGTAGATCTGCCCTCGGAATGCAGACAAGGAAGCTAGGAATTTGCGAATGTACCCTAAGCCCTAAACCCTAACTTCTTAAACCCTAAGCGGCCCTAAACCCCAAACCGTACACCTGCTGGACGAAGCTCCACCTGAGATGCAACTGAACCCTGGCTGGTGGGCACTTTTTGGGCACTTGAACCAAGACTGTGGCCAGCATCCTTCAGGCTTTTGGACGTTCAGGGCATTCCGGTCGATGCAAGAATCCTTGGGCTTTAAAGCTCGTTTCGTTGGTCTAAGGTTGCACGTGAACTTTGGAAGCCTGAAGCTCTTAACCCTAAACCCTGAATCCTACAAACCTTAAACCCTCTAAAACCTTAAATCCTGTATTAGACCCCACAAGCCCTAAGAACCAAAAACCCTATGCCCCTTACCCTAAACCCTAAACCCGAAACCCGAAACCCTAAACCCTAAACCCTAAGCCACCAAGCCCGAATTCCCTTCCTGAAGCCCACCTGGAGTGTCACACTCGCTCCAGGGCTGCTCCCTGCCAATCATCTCCTGACGGTTTTCAGGATTGGGAGTTTAGGGTTTAGGGTTTAGGGCTTAGGGTTTAGGGTTTAGGATTTAGGGTTTAGGGCTTAGGGGTTTTGGGTTCAGGTCCGGCGAAGTTTCGAGGAAATTGTCGATAAGAGAAGGCTTTCCCTTTCAAACTTCAGAAGAAGTTCAGGTTGCAGGGGCTTGAACGGTTTGCAGGGGGGGGGGGGGGGGAGGGTTCAGGCGCTTAAGCGACGCTCCAGGAGGACCATTCCGAAGGCGTAGATGTCAACGGACGTGCCGTAGTTCTCCTTGCACGATCAAAAAAAGAAGTTCAGAAAGACAGACTCTTCAACTAGGCTCGGCACACCGCCCCTTCCCAAAACACGTTACAAGCCTGAACCTCTGGGGGACATCCCTGCCCTAGAACCCTGAACCCTGCCATTCGCGTAGCGTCATCGTAAATCTCCGGGGCGATGAAGTCCACCGTCCCGACGATCGACCGGGCTACTGCGCAGGACTCACGCAAAGTCGTGGACAAGCCAAGGTCTCCGATCACGATGTCCCCGCGGTTGCCTTCAGAGAGACTTCTTAACAGGGGAAATAAGGTCCCTGTTGAAGAGAGCCAGAAGAGGATTAAGAAGAGTTCTCTTTTAAGGGTGAGGGTTCAACAGAGAACTTCTGAAACACCGTCGTCCTCGCAGGCTTCAAGGCTTGAAGAGGTTCAGCACCACGCCTCTCTCTGCTTCAGAGAAACAAAGTGCTACCCTAAACTGCCGGGGCGCCGTTGATGAAGATGTTGTCGCACTTGAGGTCCCTGTGAATGATGGGGTCTGGACGCGTGTGGAGGTAGTTCAAGCCTGAGCTCTCTTGAGAGGGTCTTCGCCAAGGGGTCTTGTCGGGTTAGATGGGGCCTTGAGGGGTCTCCAGGGCGTCTGAGGTCTGCGACTCAGGGTTTCGCTGTTGCGGTCTTCGGGCCTCTACTGGCGGCTCGGGGGTGCCCTGAATGGTGCCGGCTGCGTCTACAAGCTGAACCCACTACCCACCGAAAGCCCCCCTTGATATCACAAACATACTGGGCGTAGCTGGATGGCCTTCCTTGGGTAGAAGGCTTCTAACGGGCAAAATCCCCTAATATGGGGACCTTAAGTAATTAGAACAGTGTCTTGGGGGATTAGTTTAGTAGAGTTACAAAGGGACCATAAAGGAATACTATTCGTTCTTATGCCTCTAGTAAACAGCTCCAAGGCACCTTCCAAGATCTGCCGGCACCAGTTGCGGATCACCTTGAGCTTCAGCGGGGCGTTGATGCGCTTGATGTACTGCAGGAGCGAGCCTCCCGTGACGCGCTCGGTGATGAAGCAGACCTGCCCCCCAAGGCAAGGCAAGGCGGCCAAGATGGCCCCCCGGGCTGCGGGCAAACGGGTTTAGGGGGGTTTGGGGGGGGGTTAGGGGGTTTAGGGTTTAGGGTTTAGGGTTTAGGGGTAGGGTTTGAGGCCCAAGCTGGGCCAAGGTAGACCAAGAACGTATTCGGGGAAAAAGCGGCAGGTGAAAGGTGGCCTTCTCTTGCTCCTTGTTCGTCCAGGCATTGATGAAGGCAATGATCTTGGGGTGCTTCAGGTTTTTCAGCATCTGAATCTCATCGGAGATCCGCTTCTTTGCCTTCCTCAGCACGGCCCCACGGCTCAAACACTCAATTGCATTCCGGTCTCAAGACGTCAAGGACACCGGTGGCCCCACATGGTCAGTTAGGATTGCAAGCATCACTGGGCATCTTTCAAAAAAAGCACGCAAGCAAAAATGTGGACCTTGCTCGGTCAGACAAGCTGCTTATCTAAGTTCTGGAAGGAGATGATGTTCCAGGCGACCTCCATGCCTGCAAGCCACGCAAACTGTCCGCAAGGGCAACAATCATATAGTACTACATGATAATATTAGTATACTGATATATAAACATACTTGAATATGTCAATATAATGATATAATAGCAGGTTGCTGCAGCCCGCGCTATGGCTGTAACTTCAACGGCGTCTGCACAGTGCCTGTGTCGTTGTCGAAGCCAAGCCAAACGGTCTTGTAGGACCCGGAGCCAAGCTTCCGGTTGAAGCGAACGAATCGCCCAAGTGGCGACTTCTCTTTCACCTCAGGGAGGGGAGGTTTAGGGTTTAGGGTTTAGGGTTTAGGGTTTGGGGTTTAGGGTTTAGGGTTTAGGGTTTAGGGTTTAGGGTTTAGGGTTTAGGGTTTGGGGTTTGGGGTTTGGGGTTTGGGGTTTAGGGTTTAGGGTTTAGGGCTTAGGGTTTAGAGGGGGAGCGCGTTGGGGCATCCAAGCTTGTCACACTTCACGTATGTCGAAACAGTTGCGTCGAAATGCAACCGTAAATGTCTCATTGCCGCGCCCTCCCCCCAGCCCCCATCCCCCAGCCTCGTCCTTAGACATGTTGTCGGGATAGTCTCCAGGGGTGTTGGCATCCTCTGCATTCTCGTCTTCGGAGGAAGGCGCTTCATCCTGGTCGGCTATTTGGTCACCAGCCTCCCTTTTGAAACCCAGCCTGAACCTATGACATATTTTGACGTACGTTCTTTTGTCTGACACAAAGCCCCCCCCCAAAAAAAAACAAAAAAAAAAACGCTGATCCGGCAAACCCTCCCGAAACCGCAGTGTGAGTCCTCCGCTTCCTCCTGGTTGTCGTCGTCCAGCGTCTCGTGCTCCTGCCAGGACCGAGTCAATCGAGACGGGGGCGCTTCAATTCAGGCAAGATACATGGGAAAAGCAAGGAGGCGGAGAAGCTCAACGTTTCCATGCGAGCCGGCGAAAAGGTTGAAGGAGTCACAGGGCTTCAAAGACTCAGAAGAAATCAAACCGACAATTGATGGTAGGGTTTGAGGTGCCAGTTGGGAGTGTAGGGCCCACGACTTTGACTACACTAGTGAGTGAGAGACAGAGATAGAGACAGAGAGAGAGAGAGAGAGAGAGCGAGGTCCAAACGCCGCAGTCAGTCCTTGAGTCGGGTCGACTTCGTCTTTTTCAGAGCCTTCGCCTGCTTTGGCAGAGCCGCGCGTCAACTAGAGTGCAGGGTCCCAGACCAGACCTGGGTAGTCAACCTCCCAAAGCATAGACATCTTATAACCTCTTGCAAAGCAGACCGCCAGCAGGTTTTGCATGTGTCCTGAGAAGGGCCGCGCCTGCGGGGTCAGCAAACCCTGTGAAGATTGCGACGCGTGTGATGATGCCTGCATGCCGCAACACCACACCCCAAGGCTACGGCCCCCAATCCCCTGTCAGGAGCCCGGATGATTCCGCGAAGCAAGAATCGGACGGCAGATTCCCTAAACCCTAAACCCTAAACCCTCGAGGGTTAGGGCAGATTGAGGCCTCGGCTTCAACAAGGGCAAGATCAAAAGAGGCAAGTTCCAAGCCCTGGAATGCTTGAACCCGGCCCCAAAACTCCTAAACACCCAGGTGCTTCGGAAAATGAAAACCAGGCTCCAATCCAAAGCCCAGAAATCAGAAAGTTCCTAAACACCCTTGGTGCGTTGCAAAGAGGAAGCCCGTGAGGCGCCAGTTGAGGTGGCAGTTGGGGACGCCTGCGCAGCCGCAGCCGCAGCCGCAGCCTACGCCGACGCGGCCGGAGCTTCGGATTGGGGACGTGGGTATGAGGCCTGTGTCTACACGGGCATACGACAGAGGGCTTTAAAAATTTCGGTTTTTGAGGGCGTGGTTTCGCTGAAACCTGCCATGACGCCTGCGAAGAAGGCTGCGAAGAAGGCTGCGCAGGGGCCTGGGATGCCACCTGCGAGAGCCGAGAGCGCCGGCAAGCACCCACAGCGTAATCTCACGCATGCTCACGCTAAGCCTAGCTTTCGCCCTAGCTTAGAGCTTGAAAGGGTACCTACCGGTTGTGTGAATTTGATCTCTGTGGAATTCTGTGGATATTGGAACTGACACTAGGCAGAAAATGAGACATGAACAAGCAAAAACGATGCTACAATTGAACAGACTGTGTAAAATTTCAAGGAACCGGGCCATGAAACAACAGCCTGGACAAACAACAGCCCGGGAACCTGAGCTCAGGCCGGACCCCTTTTGGGTTCAGGGTTCCAAAGGAGGGTTTAGGGGCTCGAGTTTATCCAATCTCACGCGTCTTTCCGTACCCTAAACATCTAATCCAGCAGTATCTAGCACGGCATGCCTGCGGTGGCGGTGGTGCCACGTCTGCCTGATCAGTCAAAAACTCCAGCATGCTCCGTTGCCAAGTGCTGCCATCCGCTGCGATCACACATGCTGACCAACACTGACCGTTACCTCATGTTACCTCCCACACCCCCCTCCCCTTGTTCACGGCACGCGCAAAATCAAGTGCACGCCCGACAGAGTGGACACGATGTTGGAGACTTCACCCAGCTTCAACGCGAAGGCTGCATCCTCGAAGGCCTGCTCCCGCTGACCCCGCCGGAAGCGCCCGTAGTCGCCACCTTTCTTGGCGGACGCGCAGTCCGATTCAGACTTCGCCAGCTCCGCGAAACTTTGCCGCAGCTTGTCCGCTGGGAGGCCCACCAACTGGTTGGCAATCTCTTCGAGGTACTCCTCAGCCTCCTGCTGGCTGCAGGTGATCGGTTGGCCCCCACGGTTCTTAGGCTTGCGGGAGCCAGTGTGCTTGCGCAGGATGTGCAGCACGTGCACCTTTGAGGGCCAAATTTCAAGCGCTCATTCCCACAGCAAACCTCCAAAGCCACCCGAAGTCCCTTTAGGCCCTGGTCGATGCGCTGCCACACTTTGGGTAGGCAGTAGAGGCAGTAGATTTAGAGAATAAATACATCAAGAACAACTCACAGCAGCACGCAGAGAAGACGGAGGCACCTCCTCGGGATCCCCCTGCTCCTCCTGCGGAGCCGGCGGAAGGCTCGCCGCCTGGTTTGCCTGGAGGGTGTCCGCCTCCTGCAGCAGCCCCAAGAGACCAAGGCCTCCACCCACAACCTCCCCTTCGCAGGCCAGGCGCGCCGCGGGGGCCACGTCGATGACCCTTGCGACCTTCGGAGGCGGCGAGAGCTCGGTGGGAATTTCGCCACAGCTCAGGATGCTCACCCTCTTTGCCACACGCCCGGACCGATGGCCCAGGGCCTCCATCTTCTCCACCACGTCGTAGCCCGTCAACACCTGGCCAAAAACGACGTGCTTGCCATCAAGGTGGGGCGTCGCGGCGGTGCAGATGAAGAACTGGGATCCATTCGTGTTAGGCCCAGAATTGGCCATGGAGAGACACCCCTTCTTGTGCATGAGGTCAAAGCTTTCGTCATTGAACCTCTCCCCGTAGATGGACTCGCCACCCGTGCCATCACCTCGAGTAAAATCCCCACCTTGACACATGAAGCCGGGAATTATCCTGTGGAAGACGGAGCCCTCGAAACTCAGGCGATGCCGGGTTTTCGGGCTGCGGCCCCTCTCACCCGTACACAGGCAGCGAAAGTTTTCCACAGTTCGTGGCACGACTTCAGAAAACAGCTCGAACTCAATGCGTCCGATCGATGCGCTCTCTACCGCGATTTCAAAGAAAACGCGCACTGTCTTGGGATCGGGCGGCTCCTCCGCGGGAGCCTCGGGCGGCTCGGGATCTCGAGGGGGAGGTCCGGGAACCACACCCATACGTGCCAGCAAAGCTGCCTTCTTCTCTGCTGCAAGCCGTGCCTCTTCCTCAACTTGACTCGGCACCGCCGGCACCGCCTTCTCAGTCCGACGGGAAGTCGGGCTCGCACTCCTCGCAGTCCCCGCCGTCTCTTGAGCCAGTTCCTTCGCCTGGTTGATGACCATCTCCCGCATCTCCCTCAGCATCTGCTCCCGTCCTTCCGGCGGGGCCTCCTCGTAGACCTGCATGATTTCGGCTTTGTACTCGGGGGGCGGGCCATCACCCGTCCGTGCAGATTGCGCGATCCACACATCGATGACCTCTTCAAAGGGTGTGGAATCGTCCACCGGAGGCACCCGGGAGTCGCTGGGAACTTCCGCCTTGTTCGGCGAGGTCCGCTTTGGAAGCTTCTCCTCTGGAACGACCGGGGCGGGCATGTCCTGCGCGCAGCTCCGCTGTTGAAGCTTCTCCTCCGGAACGACTGGGGCGGGCATGTCCTGCCCGCCGTGTGCACCATCCGTGGCCTCTTCTGCAAACTCTGCCTCCTCTGCCTCCTGTTCGAGCTCGTCTGCCTGCTTAATGACCATGTCTCGCATGTCGCGCAGCATCTGCTCGCGCCCTTCAGGCGGTGCATTCTCATAGACCTGCATAATCTCGGCCTTGTACTCCGGCGGTGGACCATCGCCTGTGCGGGCAGACTGCGCGATCCAAATGTCGATCACCTTGCCAAACGGCGTCGAGGCATCGAGATGGAACTCTGCCTCCATCTCCTCCCCATCCTGTGCGGGTGCCTTACTTTGATGTAGGCCTTGTAGGCCTTGTCCCTCGCAGCCCTCGCCCTCTGGCACATCCGGTCGGGGCTCTTCTGTCGGATCAGATCCTTCCTTGGCCTCCTCCTCATCCGAGTCTGAGTAGTAGCTGAGGCCCTTCATGTAGTGATTCTTGGATACTATGTAATTGCTACGGCTGCTCGCTGCTCTTCTTCAAGCTTGCCATACTACGCAGAGGGTACGACAAATTTGCTCAGAGAAAGCCCTTGCGATACAACAGCCTGACATCAACACATTGCCACATCGTTCTGACACAAGTTGATCCGTAGAAGCTTGAACAGAAGCTGAGGTCCAACACATCACAGCATCTGACCAAAAGCTCTCCAAGTTCGAGCAAAAAGGACTTGTCAATGCCGACTTGGCCCTGCCTGCGCGGGCACCGCCTGCGAAGCAGGAGCCTGCGAAGGCGGAGGCTGGGAAGCCTGTGACACCTGCAGGTGCGCATCGGGCACATGCCAGGCATCCACGTGTGATAACTGCACCCGGTCTAAGTTTGCTTCGAACGATCACGGCGACCATCTGGACAGAATTGGAGAGCATTTGTCCGGGCAAGACCGAAGTGTCGGATAGCTCTTCTTCTTTGGGCAAGGAGGCGGGAGGGGGAGGGGAAAGGCGCCCCGCCGTAGAATCGGAAATCCTCGGAATATCAGGTATGGCGGCATGCACATCTTCTATCGGCCAGGAAATGTGACAACTTCAAGGCGATCGCGAGTTCCAGGAGCTAAGTTTCATGACATTCATTAGCAAAGTCCTCGTTCAATCGAATTTCAAGGCAGCATGGTATCTCTGCCTGCGGCGTCGACGCTGCAGCCGTTGTAGATTGCAACACCTGCATGTCACTTCCTGGATCCGTGCCTTGTTCTCTAAGGCCCTAAGCATGGGCAAACATAGGCCCTGAGCAACGAGAGAGGTTACAAGAAGAAATGCTCGAGATGAAAAAATCCCGGCAGACCTCCACTACCATCGTGAGAGCTTTCTCATGCACAGCTAGTGCTTCCACCACTGCCACCCAATTGTTCCTTCAGCGTTCTGGCACATTCCGGCACACCCCATGACATTCTCATTCCTTGGGGTGTAAACTGTATCTGACAGCAGACGCCTGCGTTGGTGGCGGTGCCGCTTCCGCCTCGTCAACCGCTCCAGCACACTCCAGAGCTCGTCAGATTTATCTTGCTCTCCTCCTCTTCTTTTTTTCTTGTTTCTATTCTGATTATTCTTCTTCTTATTCTTCTTATTATCCTTCTTCTTCGTGTTCGTCTTCGTCTTCTTCTTCTTCTTCCTGCTCTTCTTCTTCCTCCTGTTCTTCTTGTTTGTCTTCCTCTTGTTCCTCTTCCTCTTCCTCTTCCTCTTCCTCTTCCTCTTCCTCTTCCCCTTCCTCTTCTTCCTCTTCTTCCTCTTCTTCCTCTTCTTCCTCCTCTTCCTCCTCTTCCTCCTCTTCCTCTTCTTCCTCTTCTTCCTCTTCTTCCTCTTCTTCCTCTTCTTCCTCTTCTTGCTCTTCTTCCTCTTCTTCCTCTTCTTCCTCTTCTTCCTCTTCTTCCTCTTCTTCTTCTTCCTCTTCTTCTTGTTATTCTTCTTCTTCTTCTCCTCCTCCTCCTGCTTCTTCTTCTTCTTATTATTCTTCTTCTTCTTCCTCTTCTTCTTGTTCTTCTTCTTCTTCTTCTCCTCCTCCTGCTTCTTCTTATTATTATTCTTCTTTTTCTTCTTCTTCTTCTTCTTCTTCTTCTTCTTCTTCTTCTTCTTCTTCTTCTTCTTCTTCTTCTTCTTCTTCTTCTTCTTCTTCTTCTTCTTCTTCTTCTTCTTCTTCTTCTTCTTCTTCTTCTTCTTCTTTCTTCTTCTTCTTCTTCTTCTTCTTCTTCTTCTTCTTCTTCTTCTTCTTCTTCTTCTTCTTCTTCTTCTTCTTCTTCTTCTTCTTCTTCTTCTTCTTCTTCTTCTTCTTCTTCTTCTTCTTCTTCTTCTTCTTCTGCGCGCTGCTCTCTCTGTCTCTCTCTCCACTTGTGTGCCTGGGCGGCCGCATGTGGCGGCGCCTGCTCAGGCAGAGCCTGTGCAGCAGGCGCTTGCGCAGGTCCAGGCTGGGAAGCATGTGATGCCTGCCGGCGATTGCAAGGCAACCGACATCCAACGGCAATTGCGATCGACCAAATGTACCTTGCTCAAGGCTCGATGGCACAAGGCGTTTTCTACATCTTGGAAATGAGAGGCTGCACACCCCGCCCATTTCCAGCCACAATGCCGCATGATGGGTTTGCGCAAGAACTCATATCGATTGGAAGGAACACATACTGATGGGACGATATACGTTTCTGAAATGAGCGGTCCTTTTTTGTCCCCTATTCAACCCCTTCCCTCCCTCCCCTTTTCCACTTCCCCCCCTCTCGTTTCCTGCTGTTTAAGTCACTCGTAGATTCCTGTTGAATATTCGATTCCCACTCGATTTCTCTCTGAGATTCGCATTTGCTTTCTATTCGATGCCCATGGAATACTGGATGCTTAGATTCCTAATGCACTCCAATTTTTAGATCCCCATGCAATTCTCCTACATCCCACTAGATCTTCTCAGCGTGCGGCAGCATTCAGGGGAGTCTCAATGTTGCAGGCCCGTGAACATCTAGGGTGGCTTGCACCAGCTCAGTACTCGACACGTTGTAGTTCTAAACAGCAGCAGCCGCGGACATTCACGCACAGAAACTGGGCAGCTACCGCTTCAACCCAGCTGTTCTTGCGGCGGCGTCGTGTGTGTAAGTATTTCTTTATTTAAGTTTCTTCATATATATATATATATATATGTATACATATATATATATATATATGTGTGTATATACGTATATATATCCGCCGACCCCAGCGGTAGCAGGGCGGCGTCAGTGAAGACCCCCCACCGCCCTCACCGCCCTCACCCGCTCTCACAGCATGCTGCTCATGACACCTTGAATTGGAGTGTTTTTGCATTGTTTGGCTTCAGTGCATGCCCAAACCCCGCCACCCATCGCCCTCACCCATGACGCCTTGAATTGGACCTTTGACCCCCCCCACCCCATCCATTCAGGTGGTTTAAAGGGCCCAGTGCATGCCCGACCACCCCCACCCCCCCCCCCCCCCCCCCCACGCCCCTCCACCCCCCCCCCACCCCCCCACCCCCCCCACCCCCCCCCACCCCCCCCCACCCCCCCCCCCCCACCCCCCCACCCCCCCCACCCCCCCCCCCCCCACCCCCCCACCCCCCCCACCCCCCCCACCCCCCACCCCCCCCACCCCCCCTACAGGCCCGCCCCGACCCCCTATCTCTAGAATTTGAATTCCAGTCACGTGCGCCTGAACCATCACCGCCCTCATCACTCCCCACCCCCCACCCCCACCCCCCTCCTACATCTCCGAAAGGCCTCGCCCCTCCCCCCCTCTCTAGTGATTATCCGTCCATGCCCGCCCTCTCTCACCCCTGCCTAACCTCTCCGCCCCACCCCCCCCCCCCCCCCCCCACCCCCCCCCCCACCCCCCCCACCCCTCCCAAAGGCCTCGCCCCTACCCCCGGAGCATGATGCCCCCCAAAGGGCGGGCATAAGCGACGTGTCTAAGCCCGGGGCTAGGACAAAGGGAGTTTAGGGGCCTTATAAAGTGCTTAGAAACGTTAAGGGAGTCTAGGAGCCTCAAACGCTTAGAGATTTGAAGGGAGTTTAGGGGCCTGAAAATGCTTAGAAACTTAACGCTTAGAGATTTTAAGGGAGTTTAGGGGCCTCAACATGCTTAGAAACTGCTCGCCCCAGGCTTCTGCGTGCGCTGCCCGCCCATGGGCGCAGCCCCTTAAAATATATATATATATATATATATATATACATATACATATATATGTATGTATACGCGTTCATTGCTAACATCACAACGGGACGCCTGCGCCGGTGGTGGTGCCACTTCTGCCTCATCCACAACTCTAGCACGCTCCAAACCTCTCTCAACATGTCTTGCTCTCCCTCCACTTGTGTGCCTGGGCGGCCGCTTGTGGTGGCGCCTGCTCAGGCAAAGCCTGTGAAGCAGGCGCTTGCGCAGGTCCAGGCTGGGAAGCCTGTGATGCCTGCAGGCGCTTGCACGACATCCCAAAGCCAACGCGATCGACCAACTGCACACTGTACCTTGCTGAAGCCTCGATGGCACAGGGCATCACAGGGCCCTTTGTGCATCTTGAACATGAGAGGCTGCACCCCCCGCCCATTTGCAACCACAATGCCGCAGGAAGGAACGCATACCGATGGGATATACGTTTCTGAAACGAGCGATCCTTTATTGTCCCCTATTCAACCCCTTCCCTCCCTCCCCTTCTCCACTTCCCCCCCTCTCGTTTCCTGCTGTTTAAGTCACTCGTAGATTCCTGTTGAATATTCGATTCCCACTCGATTTATCTCTGAGATTCGTATTTGCTTCCTATTCGATGCCCATGGAATAGTGGATGTTCATGAGATTCCTAATACCCTCCAATTATTAAGTTCCTCATTCAATTCTTCTACATCCCATTAGTTCTTCTCAGCATGCGGCAGCATTCAGTGAGTCTCAATGTTGCAGCCCCGTGAACATCTAGGGTGGCTTGCACCAGCTCAACGGCATGACCAGTCGCAGAAACCTGTACTCGACACGTTGTAGTTCTAAACAGCAGCACCCGCGGACATTCACGCACAGAAACTGGACAGCTGCCGCTTGCATCGGGTCAACCCAGCTGTTCTTGCGGCGGCATCGTCTATGTATACATCAATTTATTTATACACGTGTTCATTTCTAACAACTAACATCACAACGGGACGCCTGCGGTGGTGGTGGTGCCACTTCTGCCTCATCAACAGCTCCAGCGCGCTACAGAGCTCTCCAAATATGTTTTGCTTTCTCTCTCCACTCGCGTGCCTGGGCGGCTGCATGCGGCGGCGCCTGCTCAGGCACAGCCTGTGAAACAGGAGCTTGCGCAGGTCCAGGCTGGGAAGCCTGTGATGCCTGCGGGCGCTTGCAAGCACCAACATCCAACAGCAAACACGACCGAGCAACTGTACCTTGGGGGGGCCTGGATGGCCCCATAGCTTGTGTGCATCTAGGACATGTGGGGCTGGAGGCCCGCGAACAACTTTGTAAACTCGCTCTGGCATACTGGTGCACAACTGGTTGGCCCGCTTAGTTCCTCTCATCAGTATCACCAGCATCGCGCCTGCGACACTACGGCTGCTGCAGCCTGCGGCGAAACAATGCGAATCACCAAATGGGCTAGCAAAGGACATTCTCTGGGAAGCGATGAGAACGGTTCCTTCAGATCTCCGTGAACATCTTGAGTAACTTCGACTTCGCAGAGCAAAGAAGTTATGTTCTTGAGTGGCTTGCACCAGTTCAATGACACGGCCAGTGGGAGACTCATGTACAGGACACTTGCAGTTAGAAACAGCAGCACCTGCAGACATTCATGCGATGCGCATCTACCGCTTCTATCACTTCATCCCAGCAATTCTTAGTGTCTAGGTCTAGGTCTAGGTGTGCACATGGGTGTATGGGTGCACGGCGCGTGCGTTCTCAGTGCAAACTTCAAAACGGACGCCTGCGGCGGTGGTGGTGCCACTTCTGCCTCATCAGCAGCTCCAGCGCGCTACAGAGCTCTCCCAACATGTCCTGCTTTCTCTCTCCACTTGCGTGCCTGGGCGGCTGCATGCGGCGGCGCCTGCTCAGGCACAGCCTGCGAAGCCGGAGCTTGCGCAGGCCCAGGCTGGGAAGCCTGTGATGCCTGCAGGCGCTGGCAGGGCAACTGCGACCGACCAACTGTACCTTGGGGAAGGCTGGATGGCCCAGTACCTTGTGTGCATCTAGGACATGTGGGGCTGGAGGCCCGCAACTGGCCGGCCCTCTTAGTTCCGCTTGTCAGTTTGACCAGCAGCGCGCCTGCGACGTCGACACTACAGCTGCTGCAGCCTGCGGCGAGACACATGGCAAAGGAAATTACTGGAAAGGCATGAGAACGGTTCCGAACATCTTGAGCAACTTCTATTGACATGGCCAGTGGGAGACTCATGTGCTGGACACTTGCAGTTAGAAACAGCAGCACCTGCAGGCATTCATGCATGGCTACCGCTTCTATCACTTCAACCCAGCGACTTTTGATGTGTTTGAATGTGTTTGAATGTGTGTGTGTGTGTGTGTGTGTGTGTGTGTGTGTGTGTGTGTGTGTGTGTGTGTGTGTGTGTGTGTGTGTGTGTGTGTGTGTGTGTGTGTGTGGTGTGTGTGTGTGTGTGTGTGTGTGTGTGTGTGTGTGTGTGTGTGTGTGTGTGTGTGTGTGTGTGTGTGTGTGTGTGTGTGTGTGTGTCTGTGTGGATTGTGTGTTGTGGGTGTGTGTGGTTTGGTGGGGGGTGGGGGGGGGGGGGGTGGGGGGGGGGTTTTGTGTGTGTGTGTGTGTGGTGTGTGTGTGTGTGTGTGGTGTTTGTGTGTGTGTGTGTGTGTGTGTGTGTGTGTGTGTGTGTGTGTGTGTTGTGTGTGTGTGTGTGTGTGGTGTGTGTGGTGTGTGGTGTTGGGGGGTGGTGGTGTGTGTGTTGTGTGTGGTGGTGTGTGTGTGGGTGTGTGTGTGTGTGTGTGTGTGGTTGTGGGGGGTGGTGTGGTTGTGTGTTTGTGGGGTGGGGGGGGGGGGGGGGGGGTGTGGTGTGTGTGTGTGTGGGGTGTGTGGTGTGTGGGTGTGTGTGGGTGGGTTGTGTGGGGGGGGGTGTGGGGGGGGGTGGGGGGGGTGGGGGGGGGGGGGGGGGGGGGGGGGGGGGGGGGGGGGGGGGGGGGGGGGGGGGGGGGGGGGGGGGGGGGGGGGGGGGGGGGGGGGGGGGGGGGGGGGGGGGGGGGGGTGTGTGGGGGGGGGGGGGGGGGGGGGGGGGGGGGGGGGGGGGGGGGGGGGGGGGGGGGGGGGGGGGGGGGGGGGTGTGGGGGTGTGTGTGTGTGTGTGTGTGTGTGTGTGTGTGTGTGTGTGTGTGTGTGTGTGTGTGTGTGTGTGTGTGTGTGTGTGTGTGTGTGTGTGTGTCTGCTTGTGCGAGTGCTTGCTTGTTTGTGTGTGGGCACGCGGGCTCGCGCGCGCGCGCGCGCGCGCGCGTGCATGTGTGCGTGTGCGTGCTTGTGCGTGCGCGTTTGCCTGCGCGATTGCGTGCGCGGCTGCCTGCGAGTTTGCGTATGCGTTTGAGCAGATGCAAGGGGAACCGGCTCCTGATAGCTGCCGGTTCCCACGTAGCTATGCTGTCAGAAGGGAAAGATTTTGGGACGCCAAAATCTGTTCCTGCATTCTGCCGCTCGTTGTCGTTGGTCGTGAAACGACAGGCTTGGGGGCTTCAACCAGATTAGTACCTGCACTGCCAAACTTAATCGTGATGCATCTGACAGCGGCTTGGGCCTCAGAGTGTGTGCTCATTCCTTGAATCGAACATGACAACCTCATTGAGGGAAATGCCATATGCATGTCGGTGTGGGTGTGGGTGCGGGTGTGGGTGTGGGTGCGGGTGTGGGTTTGCGTGTGGGTGTGCTAACTTCACAACGGACGCCTGCGGCGGTGGTGGTGCCACTTCTGCCTCATCAACAGCTCCGACGCGCTCAAGAGCTCTCCAAACATGTCTTGCTCTCTCTCTCTCTCTCCTTGCGTGCCTGGGCGGCTGCAGGCGGCGGCGCCTGCTCAGGCACAGCCTGCGAAGCCGGAGCTTGCGCAGGTCGAGGCTGGGAAGCCTGTGATGCCTGCAGGCGCTTGCAGGGAAACCGACAATTGCGATCACACTGGTGCACAACTGGCAGGCCCGCTTTGCTCCTCTCATCAATTATAAGCAGCGCGCCTGCGACGTCGACACTACAGCGGCTGCAGCCTGCGGCGAGACAATGCAGATCATCGAAGGGGCCAGCGAGGGAAACTTACTGGGAAGCCATGAGAAGAGTTGCATTGAGACCTCCGTGAAATCTTGAGTGGCTTGCACCAGCTCAACGACATGGCCACTGGCAGAGCTTGCACCAGCTCAACTACATGGCCAGTGGCAGAGTCTTGTACTGGACACTTGCAGTTAGAAACAGCAACACTTGCAGACATTCATGCACACATCTACCGCTTCTGTCACGTCAACCCAGCAATTCTGACTGGGTGGGTGTGCGCGTGGGTGCGCGGTTGCTCGGGTGTGTGGGTGCACGGGTGGGAGCAAGGGCGTGTGGGGCGCGAGCATTCTCAGTGCTAACTTCACAACAGACGCCTGCGGCGGTGGTGGTGCCACTTCTGCCTCATCAACAGCTCCATCGCACTCAAGAGCTCTCCAAACATGTCTTGCTCTCTCTCTCTCTCTCTCCTTGCGTGCCTGGGCGGCTGCAGGCGGCGGCGCCTGCTCAGGCACAGCCTGTGAAGCCGGAGCTTGCACAGGTCCAGGCTGGGAAGCATGTGATGCCTGCAGGCGCTTGCAGGCACCAACATCCAACAGCAAACACAACCGAGCAAGTGTACCTTTGGGGGAGGCTGGATGGCCCCATAGCTTGTGCGCATCTACGGGAAAGGTCTTCCAGCAACTATAGTTGCTATAGCAACTCTAGCAACTGCTAGCAGTTCTTAGCAGTTAAAAAGTAGTTATTTCCAGTTATTTGTAGTTATTTTTAGCAAAAAAACGCACGAAATACATAACTGGAAATAACTACTTTGGATTTTTGAAATTTGCGATTTTTTTTTCGATATGGACTTATGCACGTCAAGTTTTTTCGAGATTCTGCACCTATTATTTCACCAGTTTGCAGTTTCTCGACCTGAAATCAGCTATTTTCATGCATGGATATGCCTGAAGGACATTTCCTGTGATCTTGAGGCATACAGTTTGAGCGACTGGACATGTGTGGTACCAGGCAATTTTTTGTCGTTCATCTCTGACGCACTTCCTTTGAGGTCACAGCAAACAGAGGACGGTGTTCTCCTCCTGCAGCCACCAAGAAGGCTGCACGCAGCGGTCGACTTTCTCTTCAAGCCAGACCGCCACCTCCGTTGTTCGCTTCCAGACGCTGGAAGCTGCATCGCACATCTCCTGAGCAAGATTGCAGTTTTTGTCGTACACATCTTGGTCATATACTGAGGTAGAATCAAATTACATGCAAGTCGATACGGCAAAACCGTGCAGCGTGAAGAAGCTCATGGCTGCAAACCAAGACTCGAACGTGAAGGTTTCCACAGCAAAGAGCAAACCCCCAGCAGTCTGTGCACACTCGCGCACCTGAGCCGCCGTGTGGGTTGTCAGCGGCAAGAGCAGCAGCACATCACCTTCCGTGATGGTCATGTGCGTGGATGTGCGGGCTGTTCTTGAGGCCATCGCACCTGGGCAGTACACGCTCGGTTGGGGCGTGGAGCGGAGTCCGGTCCTGAAGGGCTGCTCTTCGTGCATCTTGTCCATTTGCCCCTGCAAAAGCCGCGGCAGCAGGTTCTGCTGCAGGACTGTCTTGTCCGTGAACTGCTGTAGTCTGTCGGCGAGCGTGGCCTTATAGGATTGGTGCTTAGCCTCTCCCGCTTCGGAGTCCACCAGCAAGCCCAGACGAGCTGCCTGCTCGCTGATGTGCATACGATGATGGTGTTTCGGCTTTGGGCAGCCGTACACTTCCACGCTGAGGGCCTGGTGCTCCTCTTCCAGCTGCGCCATCCTTGACAGCGGCCAGTCGCGTCGGGTGCAGCACATCCGAATCTCGAACCTGAAGAAAACGTGTTCACGAGTGTGAGACAGCGAGAGCGAGAGCGACTGCGAGAGAGACAAGAAAGAATAGAAACAAAGAGAGAGAGAGAGAGAGAGAGAGAGAGAGAGAGAGAGAGAGAGAGAGAGAGAGAGAGAGAGAGAGAGAGAGAGAGAGAGAGAGAGAGAGAGAGAGAGAGAGC